GGGCACAGAATGCAACTAAGAGAGGTAACAAAAATGGGGACCTGTGATGGTGGCAACAGCCTTGTAGATCACACTGAATGAATTGAATGTGATGTTTAGGATCTAGAGAGTACACTGGCTCTGAGCTTCTCCCGTTCCTTGTGAGCACTGACCATCCATGAAGGCTTAACTTTCAGGAGTGTAGAAATGTTAGGTGAGAAAATTGATAACATCTTACATTTGCTGAGACTCCCAAGTGATATTGTTCTTCCTAGGAATTTATACACTTTTCTAGCCTACCATGAAGTTTACTGCCATTGACCTCACACTAGTAAAAGTAACATGTGCTATTTTATCACAGGCAATACAGATAGCTATTTTCAGAAGTCACAGAGAAACAGTAACTGATGACAACCTGCCGTGACCTTGGCAATTGGTGATATTCTGTCAGTATGTTGACAAAGGTGATAATTCAGCTGAGAGTTTAACCACAGCTAATGCGTGGAGCAATTCCTGCAAAAGCAGGAAACAGGAAAAAATTCCTGTTTTATATTAGTACTCATGGCTGGACATCCTCACTAATAAATATATTCTGAGCACATTACCTGGGGCTCTGATATAGTGTGCCTTTCCTGATTCCTTTCTCACCTGCTTTCCATCTTCCCTTCCAGGTAGTCCCCTTACTAGAAACGTTATTAGAAGTAGCCCCATGCTCCTGTGAGAGTTACCTTAGGTCCTTCAGAAATGCAAGGCAGGAGACTTTTCTCATGAGATTTTTTTCAGGCTAAAGAAGAAACTAAAGGTTGAATCCTACTTTGAGAAGACTTTCCGAACTTGTACACCACTTTGTTTTCTGACTAGTAAAACTTCCCTCTGTTGCTCTAGTTTCCTGGGTTTCGGTGGTGATGATTTTTTTCCCCTAAAACCAAGGCAAACAGGAAACTCTCAGCATGCAGATACCAGGTTCCACCAGGCTGCCCGTGTCAGATACTTAATGGAGGCAAGCAGAATTCCAGCTCGTGCTCACAGGAGCTGATCATGGCCCCTGTAGCCTTGTCTTGAAATAAATATCTCGAAATAAACTTTATGGGAATGCTCAATAAATACAGAGCTATCTGGTCACCCTTTGGCCATGTTTTCAGATGTGGTTGGCTGCAGTGTGGACATTTTTCCTGTAAAAGAGGGTGTGCTTATATATTACAGTTAGGATGATGTAGAAATTGTCCAGTTCAGTGCCAAGTTTTGCCCATCTTTTCCTTGCAAGAGGCAGATCTGACCATGCTTTCTGATTCTGGAAAAATGGGCTGCTTCCTGTAAAGAGTTATTACTAGCAAGTAGAGAGACATTGAAATGATTTGATCAGTAGAGCAGTACATAAGAAATTGCTTTTAAAGCCAAGTATGCTGTTATGAATCTGAGCTTCTCTTTCAGGTCACTATTTTAATTTCAGTGTTAATGGACTAGGTTATGCTGCTTTTCAGGTGAAGTAATGTCTACAAGAGAACATACTCAATGCAAAGTGCATCCACACATCTGAAGTAAACAAAATTTTTGTGTGTGTGTGTTTGTATGTGTGTGTGTGTGTGTATTTTCCTTCATCTGAAATACTCTTAGAGGTTACGTGCAAGCACATATTCATTTGCAACTTACCTTAAGTGTCTTCTTTCCTATCCCACCTAAATAATGTGCACTGGTTAATTTCTCAGCTCAAATGACAGTATTTTGGGTCTGTTTGTTTCTTCTCCCAGGTAGAAATGGGATGGTATCTCTTTAAAGAGATACTTACAATAAATGCACAGGGTAGCAAAATTAAGATATTGCTATTCTGAATTTTAAAATCTGCAACCTTTATTCAATCCTGAAGGCCGATGAAACAATGTAAATGTAAGTTATATGTGATTACTTATCATTTTTTTTCCTCTTGACTTCTGCCTCATTCAGTGCACAAAATGCATAGCATTCCCTGAAAGTGGAATTTATCTCACCTGACTTTAGAACACTGAAAATTAATGTCCCTCTCGGCTCCCTTTCAGAAAGAGATAGGTGCTGCCAAATAGTGTTTCAGCCTGTCCGTAGATAGGTTCAAGATAGATGTGATGAATTTCTGTAGAACAGCAGGGGAACCAAAGCAACCCACTTACATCAGACATCTCATTTTTAGGCAGCTAAAATTAGGTGAGATGCATCTTATCCTTAACTGGAACGGTTTGTTGTCTACTGTATGGACTGATGCCGTGTTTACTATGATGCCATAGAAATCCTTCTGCAGCTGAACTGTACATTGCCTCATAGGCTTTGTTTGGCAATAGGGTGTCCAACAGTGGGAGTCATCTCACCTAAGTGTAGACCTTTACGAGGTGAGCTTTGACATACAGCATCCTGGGCATCCTATGCTCTCTTTATGTCAATGGAGAGGAACATGGACTTTTGGCGTCTCTTTCAGTAAGAGATGAATGCCTCCCTAGAAGCGTTTCTGTTCAGTTCTGTTGACTAACTGAATGAGAGTCTGTGTGATTATCCTGCCTACAGAGGTGACATTTAGCCAGAAGAGACCCATCTTAAGTGCTCTACGAACATGAATTAGTTTGTTTCATAGCTCCCTCTAAGGAGAGTAAAGGCAATGCCTGTATTTGGCACAGAATGGCGCCATGGATTGAGTAAGGCAAAAGTACTTGCTGTTTTTGGGTGTGTACTCTGAAATGTCTAGGGCTTAGTGTTTCTGTGGACTTACATAGCACTTGCACTTTTCAAAGAACAACCCTTATTGATTCTTAACTAAAAGTATGTCAAGAAATTGAATTTTAATAGCCTTGTTTATGTTTCTTTGTGTTATTTAGGCACTGTAAACTGCATGCTCTTTGGAAATTCCAGCAAAAAAAGAGATTGCCTAGCCTGACTCTTGATTAGTCTGAACACTTCAACAGTTGCTCGTGATGAGAACACTGGCTTGAGTTCGCAGAGAAAGATCAGAGAATGTTTGGGGTCTGAGCTAATGATGGGAATGCTTACAAGGAAGTTTTGTCGTTGTAACTTGCACCTGTGTAGCTGAGCAATTCTCCATGGCTTGAGGAGTCTGGCCACGGGACACTGCGCCGCGGCTTGGGCAGCGTTCCAGCCTTCTCCGTTCACAAATTATCAGCTCCTTGGAGTGGTTAACAAGCCTCCTTGCCAATCACTGTGGGCTCATCTCACCAGTAACACTCAAGTGCCTTCCTCACATTTCTGTGGTTGGTGTAGATGAAAAATATGTATTGCATGGTGGAATGAGCTGCGGGAGAGCTTATATGGACAGGTCATGCTGTTTTTTATATGATAGCCAGCAGGGAGCTTTCATGTTCTAGTAGCTTCTATTTGGTACAATTTATGGATGCAATCACGGCTGATTACAGTATGTCAGAAGAGAGTTGTTGCAGAGGTGATTACGAGGTGGAGCCATGAGGCCCTGGGGTGCCTTAACCACCTTATTTGCCCTCTTGAATGTCCAGTAGTAGCTGAAAATAAAGTGGACAGGAGGGAAAAGCTGTTGACAGCTAGGAAAGTTACTGTGATATAAAGAGCCTAAACTTGTCACGAGGCAACCATTTCTGTCTTTGCAAACAATTAGAACTATATTTCCTCAAAAAAAGCTATTTCTTTAGAAAAGCTATTTTTTTAGAAAAAGCTCCATGATGGAAATGTATGTTTTGTTTACTCTCTGCTGTCACATCTTGCTTTGTCTCAAGGCTGGCCCACACAGGTTTTTTGTACCTATTTATTCTTATAAATTTAAAAAATGATACTATTAGATGGGCACCATTTGCTGTTGCAGTAGTTTTCAAGCTATGCAATGGCTTTCAGCTTGCAAGTTGTAAAAGGTTCACAAAGATAACTGAGAAAAGCAAGATTATTTTCTTTAGGCCTAAATTTACCACACAATAATTTGTATCTATCCGAGAAGAATTTTAGGAGATCACTAACTGAACAAAATTAAAACTACTGCCCTAGTTTGAAATCAATTTCCCAGAATAAGCTATTCTATTATCATCAGTTTTATGGGCTGTAATTACATCCACAGGAGTTAACATATATTGTCATGTATGTGTAAGGGAGAGCGGAGACTGGAATAGCCCAAATAAAAGAAAAACACAGGTTCTGTGTTGAGTCGTGCTCAACCTGGCTTTTGTAGTGTCTTTACTCATAAATCCTCAGTATATCTGGTTCTGGGTGTACTTATTAGTTTGGATGTACATCCCGTGGAGCCAGTTGGGACCTGAAAGCATGATAGTTGCAGTCGCACAGTACTGGGTCTGCTGGAGCTGGATGAGTTCAGGAACACGGCGTGGGTACACTCCAGCTGACCCTGGCACGGTTCAGTAGCTGGGACTTTGTGTCACCAAAACATGGTTAAGTGGCTGGATCCACATCAGCGCTGGAGCTGCATCGGCCCATTTTCATGGTGTGTGCTTGAGCTAACAAGCTTTGTCAGAGTGAGGTGAGCTTGACACAAATTTTTGCAACCGAGATTATCGGCTCATAGTAATAATGAGTAGATTCGCCACCTCTAAATAGAATCAAGACAGTTTGAAGACTGTATGTAGATAAGTGTCTTGGATAAGTCTTTTCAGTGAATGTTTCAGTGTTCCTGTGTATTCTCGCTTTTTCTACCTTATCTGAGCATCCACAATCATTAGTGAACTGCACAGTATTTTCAAGGTGCCACATCAATGCAAACACGAATCATCAGTGACATCTGGGAACTCTGTTCTGATCTCTCCAGGGTCTGTTACAGTTTAACTTTATGCTTGGTTTTGTGTTTTTGGACTGAGCAGATTAGACCATGTTAGAATTTTCTTCTGGGTTTTCCCAACAAGAAGAAGCTTAATCTCTGAGGAGCTAGGTCTGTGGCCTAAGATAACTGCCTAAACGTAGTTAAAGACATGCCACACTGCTCTAATTTTTATATTGCAGCCTGATCGTGTCTCATATTTACACTTTTGTTATGGACAGGATTTGACCTGATGGATTCATTCAGTGTGAAACAAATTTTTGGAATGAAGGAAAGCGGAATTCAGAGCTCTTACGTACGACTTGGAAGTTTCCCCATTGTTCAGAAAACTGAGTGAGTACCCGGTCTTTCGTTTTATTTTCATCTGGGCCTCTGATTTGGCTCTGTTATCTGGCCTCTGTTATTTGGTTCCTTTACGTTAACTTGCAGTAGTGACACGGTACCTATGTTACCATAGCTAGCACGAGCATGTTCTGCTGTTTTGATCAGCTCTTTCAGTTCTTCTGCCATAACATTTAGACAAAGTGCCTTTGCACTAACTCCACTTGCCATCCTGGTCAGTGAATCAGCTAGTTTCAGTGTATCTGTCGCAGTTGTTTTGAAGAGCAGTTTTAAGACAGTCAGCAAAGAACTGAGGGCAAAGTACCTAAAGGCCTCTAACAAGAATATTTAGTAGCACTCCCATTGAAATACGTATTTGCTAATCACAAGCGACCAGTTCCTACTAGATGTTGCTGTCATTCTGCTAATACAGTTTTTTGGTCTCCTAAAAGAATGAGCAGTTGTTAATCCTGTGTCAACATGGATTCGGTCCTTTATAACTTGAGGCTGCCAGCTGTGTCATAGTCTATCAGAACAGTTTCTCTTCTAGTTGTCATTTGAATCTTGCTAGCATTAGCCTTGAAAAGAGTGAGTGCGTAATTTCACTGAGTAATCATGAGCAATAGATTGAATTGTCATCATTAACATTTTTGCAGTAAATTTCACTGCAGTGGTTTTGAACTTCAGCTTAAAAAATCAATAGTAATTCTTTTCCTTCTTATGGATGAGGGCTGTTATATTTTATTCTGTTTTGGCTCTTTTACGCAGCTTGCTGCATCTTTCAGATTTTACTGTGATTTGCATTTGCTTGATTTCACAATATTTTTTCATCCTGGAGCTGACCTGGATTGATTTGCTTTTCTCTCCTCCATTTCCTTCTCCATACAAACACACACTCTTTAGAAGGAAAAAAAAAGTAGAAGTATGATATATTGAAAGGAAAACTGTTTGCTCTAAAGTCCATAAATGATGTCAAGTCTCAGGGTAAGTAAATTCATGATCTGGGAGAAGGCCAGCAAACTAAAGACACCTTGCTCTTGATAAGAAGTATATATATAACTGGGGTGTGTACTGAGAGGAAAAAAACGATGTTTTTTTGCTCACAGCAGCCTGTGGGCACAACTCCTGCTTGGTGTGGTTTGTAATAGCTAGCGGTAGTGCGCTTTATCATTGGAGAGGGTTATCACCAGGACTATGTAGGAAGAAGCCCTGAAGCAGAGAGGTCCAGTTTGTGCCTAAATATTTCTGGGACTGATGATCTACCCAACCTGAGCTCCGTGAGACACTGTGGTAAATAGGACTAATGCAGTCTCTGTCTGTATAAGCAAGAACTGTCATAGTTACCAACAGACGTCTTCGATATCAAGGAACTCTGTCACTACTGCTGTAATGCTGTGTCCAGTCTTTGTGTCCGTAATTCAGTAGATAAGAATAAAATGTAGGAAAGATTAAAGAATTTGGAAATGTGGCTAATACTGGGAGACTCATGAAGTTCCGTGGAGTCAGGTACGTTAGAAAGAGGTTAACAGTGGAGGCAGTCTCAGTTGATAAAAACCAGTAGAGAATCAAGATCTAATAAAGGGTCTTAAGTGTAATAATGAACATCAGTAAACTAAAAGTCAGTGGCTACCTGTTAACAACAGACGAAAACCAGCATGGAAGGAAGGCATGCATTTTTAACAATGAAAGTAATTAATCACTAGAACGAGTTAGCGTGGATTATAGTGAGGTGTCCTTTTGCATTCCTTTCTGAAATTAAGGCTTGAAGTACTTTGCTGCTGCTGCTGCTGCTGCTGCTGTTGTTGTTGATGTTGTTGTTGTTTTCCCAGAAAAACTGAGGAAGTAAAACCAGACCATCCGGCTATAATGGCTTTTCTTCTGCTCAGACTGCATCCATTTAATTGTTGATGCTGTTTTTAAAATAAGTAGACTATTTTGTTGCTGAGGACAATTAGAATTAAAACATACTAAATTAGTAAATTGAAATGACTAAGCTTGCTTTTAAATGATTAACTGAAATACGGAATTAAAAAGAAACTTTCTATTTTCAGCCTTCTGTATTTTAACTTCCCTGCACGTGTGATTTGGAAATAAACCTAAATGGATATGTTACCATGGAAGGTGACCGTATATTTGATGCATTTCAGTTTTTGGATGTTTGAGTTCTGAGATGATGCACCTAGGGCCATTGCTCGCAGAAGATGAATTAAAGCTGCACAAAATTGATAACTGAAATAATAAACAAAACAAAAAAAACCATCTGTCCTTTCTTGCGGATAGCCAAAAGCAATATTTAACAACTGATAGCAACATCTCATAATTCAGTATGCAGAATCCCAGAATGGTTGAGGTTGGAAAGGACCTCTGGAGATCATCTACTTCAGCCCCCGCCCCCACACAAGCAGGGTTACCTGCAGCACATTGCCCAGAATCGTGTCCAGAAGGCTTTTGAATATCTCCAGGGAAGGAGGCACCATAGTCTCTCTGGGTCAACCTGGTCCAGTGCTCTGTCACCCTCACAGTCAAGAAGTTTTTCCTCATGTTAAGATGGAGCTTCCTGTGTTTCGGTTTGTGCCCGTTGCCTCTTATCCTGTTGCTGGGCACCACTGAGAAGAGTCTGGCCCGATCGTCTTGACACCCTCCCTTTAGATACTTGTACACCTTGATGAGATCACCTCTCAGGCTTCTCTTCTCCAGGCTGAACAGTCTCAGCTCCCTCAGCCTTTCCTCGCAGGAGATGCTCCAGTCCCTTAATCATCTTCATAGCCCTTTGCTGGACTCACTCCAGGAACTCCAGATCTCTCTTGTACTGCGGAGCCCAGAACTGGACACAGTACTCCAGATGTGGCCTCACCAGGGCTCAGTAGAGGGACAGGATCACCTCCCTCCACCTGCTGGCAAGGCTGCATCCCAGAATACCAGTGGCCTTCTTGGCCACAAAGCCACGCTGCTGGCTCATGGACAACATGACCACCAGGACTCCCAGGTCCTTCTCGGCAGAGCTGCTTTCCAGCAGGTCAACCCCCAGCCTGTCCTGGTGCAGGGGGTTATTCCTGCCTAGGTGCAGG